AGCTTCAGGAGGCTTTGGATGTAGTCCAGAGCGATCCCAAGGATCTTCAGAATTGAATCAGGTCAATGCAAAGGCTTCTGTTGCTTAGATTAGGCTCATTCATGGCAGCAGCATCCTAAAATGTTGTCAAGGAAAATTAGTATGTTGGGCCTATTTAGATCAAGGCTGTTTCTGAACATGTGGAGTGGGTGTGGGAGCAAGGTGTTTTTATCCATTGCTCTAAGGCAGCTCAAAATGTCTTCTCAGGTGGTAACTATCAGCACTTGGGGAATGCAGGCTGTAATTTTTTACTTTTCTTTTACAAGGAATCCCCTTCATGTTTTATGTGTCCAGTTTTCAGAACCTGGGTGCCCGGAGCCAAGACATATTTGGTCAATTCATAACAACCTATAGGCAACTGTGCACTGATTTATAACCACGAAACATCTAAATACAGATGAAAGGTGCTGGAGTTGAAGCACTTGGTTTGAAAATTGGACTTCCTCGCATCATAGGCATGCTCTTGTTCATATGAGTAAATCTATAAAGACTGTTTTCATATCTTCTGTTTGAGTGGTTCAGAATAAGGGAATTCTCCATTTCCCAGGAGGTGTGTGAAACCAAGGGTTCAAGAGCCCCTGAATATCTGCAAAGCTTGCACATTTGATTTCATTGATGTAGGACCCCAGGACCATAGTCCTGGATGCTGCAGCATGGAACTTCAGAGGCAGTCTCCTTCACTACTCCCCTTGACAGGACCACTCCCACAAATGAGGATTTCAGGATTGAGGCATCCTCAGTAACCCCTTTATTTCCAATAAGTGTCAGAGGGTCTTGGATGTTTCTTGTAGTGCTGATGCCTTTATTGAGTCATTTTTCATAGAGGGGAGTCTCTGAAGACACAAAACTAATCAGGAGTTGTGGTTGCAACTTGTGAGTTGGGTAGGCAAACTGCCCAAGTAAAAGAATCACATCAGATTGGTCAACTGATTCAACAGAAAATAAAACTAGGTCCCAGCACTGGATTACTCTGAAAACTACAGTTTCCACATTGCAGCTCCTGAACACAAATGGATCTGGCATCTTGTGATCCGGGGTCTTTTGAAAAGCTAATGGTAACACAGTGAGCATGCCTACATGTGATATTAGTGCAACACAATAAACTCCAGGGCAGTTCACACCGGAGTTTATTGCTCCCAGGCACAGCATTTACACATGTGGCTGAGACCGCAGTACGGTGAGCTGGGGAAGATCAGCCCCAGCTAGCAGGGGGCTGTGGGGGTGAGCCTGCCAGTCCAGGGTGCCCCAGCACTGAAGGACCTTCATGCCCCAGCCAGCCCCATCAGTGTCTACACCTGCATTGCAGGGCACTAAATAATCCTGCTTGTACTCATGTTTACAAGCACTATCCTACAGTGTCATTTATTCATTTACTGCGGTTTATTAGGGCCTCACGTGTAGACACGACTTTACTGGGGATCTAATTAGTCAACTCTGCAGTAATCATGTCATGTAGACGTGCCCTGTGTTAATGTTTTTAATCTGTTACTTGCAGAAGAACTCTTGGAGGATGAGGGCTTCATTAAGTTAGGAACTGTAATAATGCACTGGCCTGACTTACTCCCATCTGCTTAATTTCTTTATAACGTCTGTTTCCTAATAATAATACACATGAGATGATAGCATGCCAAAGAGTAGCGCATGTAAATTCTCATTAAAGTCACGCAGCCTTTGGTCTCGTACAGTATTTCTCTGGGAGCACTGTAGTTGCACAGAAATGCACCATTAATTATGTGCTCTTGCTTTAAAAGGACACCATCTTTGAGCAGCCATGTATTCAAAACAGAGTTCTTTATTGGCACTAATAATAATCGTCTTGGCTGCACAGTGTAAAAACCTACCACAGAAGGCAAAGTGAGGGCGAGGAGTCATACAGAGGAGCACTCACTCTGAATTTGTTCATTATGGATTCACTGGGACCGCTTGTAGGCAGTGTAGCTATGTAAGAGAAGGGGATTTTGCACTGGCTTGGATTTGGTCATGTCATACCATCTTACATGCATTTTCACATCTGGGTGAATTCATGTACATAGTAAATGCTCCGTTCTGTGACCAAGAGGTGTTTAATCCCGAGAGCATTCATTTTGTTTCCTCTCCAAAATTTAATTTGGGGGCTTGTAGTAGTAAGTGGGGGGCCAACTTTTTTGGCTAGTGTGCCACAAATTATCCCCGTACTCTTCCCACGTGCTGCTCTGAGCCCCTTCCTTGGCCCTAATCTGCTGCTCTGGTTTCTGCTTCCTACCCTATCTGCTGCCATGCTGCCTGCTATCTCCCTGATCTGCTGTGTGCAACACAGGCTTTCTGTGGCACTTGTGGTTGTTCATAAATAGGAAAACATACATTCAAGTTAATATGAAAGAGCTTCATCTTCAGATCATAAATGTCAGCTATCAAGTAACTGGTTTCTCTCTAAATGCAGTTTGTGAGCAACGAGCAGAGTCAGGTATGTTCCTGAAGGCTATTCAAATGATGCTCTCAAATGAACCAGGTCTGAAAAATTTGGCTGCTTAGACAGAAAGAGAGCTGAAGTCATGGGGGGAAGGCAGGAATAGTTGCTCATTGATATCTTTAGCATCTCTTGTCAATGCTAAATACTTCAGCGCTCAATCCTGCAAAGATCTAAGCAACTACCTTTACTCATGAACAGGCGTATTCATTTCTCACTTGGGCTTCTCCTGTAAATAAGGTTACTCACTGGTGTGTAGGATCAACTATTCTTAAAAATCCCATTATCCTCACTTGCACTATCTGCTTAGATTCAGTACTTTGTTCATCGGATCCTGCTGAAACTCAAACTGCTCGGTTTTGCTTTTCTTAATGGCTCACTTCCAGTCAATATTGCCTTGTAACCCTCAGGTACCTGAAAGATCCTTTCCAATTGAGATGGTACAAGAGTAGGGAAGTGTTTCACTTAAATAAAAATCAGTCCCGTTACTTTTTTTTTTTCTTTTCGCACTGGTGCAACTCAGTTTACATTAGTTAAATTAGTTCTTGCGTATGCCAATGAGAGGTCAGTCCCTAAATCTTTTAATAAAGATTATAACAAAGGGAACATTATTATTTCAGGTAGTTTCTCAATGGCCATTTATAGCAAGACCTGAATGCTGGGCATTAAACTTATTGATTGCAAGACTTTCATTATGATAACAAGATGATATCTTTTTGAATGACCCTAACCCGTTTGATGTTTTCTGGAACCACGATAAACACATCTGCACATTTTATTGCTCTTGTCTCTTAAATCTAATTTCTGGGACCTTGTAATAGGTTGGCCATCCAAGTATCCCTTTCTGCTGGATCAGCTTAAACCATCCGTACCGCGTCTTGATCCACAGCCTGCGGAGAACATCCGTCGTGCTCCTGACAGGACCCTGTCAGTGTTTCAGGAGACAGGACAGAGATGGAGAGGCAGTTAGTTCATGAGGGTGGGTGGCAGAGTCGAACATTTGTCTATGGATGCAAGGACCTCAGCTCCACGTATAAATTATCCCCTGGGACTGGTAGGTAAACACAAACTTATATGGTGACATTGGCTGGAAACCCATATACATGCCTATGATTGCACGCTAGTTATTCAAGATGGTAACTCCGAGGAAATGAAGATGGGCTGCATTTGGGTCCGGTTTCATTTAGTGAAAAACTAAAATTTGCTTTTAAAAAGATACAGACAGAGATTTCTCTTCACTGTGGTTTAATTGTTTGTTTTGTTGGCCTATTTTTTAAATTATCGTTCCCTCAAAGTCTCAGTAATGTCTACTGAATTTGCGGCATCCCCTGTTTTCATGTTCATTGACTAGGTTCTAGTCTCAGTAATATCCAGTGAATTTGTAATGTCCTCTGTTTTCATGTTCATTGACTTGGTTATAAATGATAATGTTCTGTTTATGTGTAGATTTGTACCCTTCCATATGTAAGGTGGATCAGGGAGCCTGAAAACTATCTGGGTACAAACTCATCTTAACAATGTTATGGTCTGGACAACAGCCATCAGGAGAAACACTCTTTTTCTGGTTTGTTTTGAAAATGAACATTAGGGCATGAGTGAAGCGATGCATGAATGATACCACAGCGTGGCATCCACCAGTTAGTCCTCTTATGGTATCATTGAGTAGCGGATACTTCTTTATATGCCCTGCTACTTTTGAGGGACAGATCAAATTGCACCTACACCTGAAGGAAACCCGCTGGGTGCGCAGTGCACTGCGAATCCCACAAGACCATTAGTGTTGCTGGGTGAGGGACATTCACAGATACAACCTTAGGTCATCCAGACGCCCCGTTTTCTTTGGAGCTCCCGAATAAAAGTTTGGATTTTGTGGAGCTGTATAAAGGTGTCTCAGGCTTACGGACTTGTATCATCCAGAGGGCCACAATTAAGAGCCGGGTTGCAATACTCTTGCCAATCAGGTACATGCATTTGGAGCGTGAAATTGTGACCCCTGCTCAGAAGCTCCAAACCCAGCCTCTGCTTCCCTTCCACCCTGCTGCACCCCCAGGATTTGTGCTGACTCCTTACAAAAAACTGAATTTATCCAGGAGTAAATGTTCAAGGTTGTTTCCCTTGTCCCAGGCACGGGCCAGAACCTGGGTATGCTAGGTGCTATAAGGACATGGGACAAAAAGATAGGGCCAGCACCCAAGAGCCAGATACTGGGAGGGTGGAAGTTGTCTTAGCACCATGGACTTCACCTGAGCAATGCCAGGTTACATGAATTATCCATAATCTCCAGGAATATCATTCCAGGGATGCAGTTACGTCGATCGCTCGGGGGACGCAGACATCTCTCTCCCCTTCTCTCCCTCACTGCCAGCTTTACGTGAATTCACATGGTGGTCAAGGGTCAATTTAATTATAAACTTTTAACGGCATTCCCAAACGTATGCAACATTGAAACCTGGGAGAAGCAAAACCTGCAGGATAGATGCTGTGCTCTCAAGGAAGGCAGCCCCACTCTTCAGTCGTTTGGTTTTTCCCCTCCTTTCTCAGATTGCAAAGAGCTCGACAAAGCCTGAATTTTCCTTTCCATTGGCTTCTCCACCAGCTCCTGTCGGTGTGAGTGCTGCCGAGAGCTGGGTCCTCCTTTCCTTCTGTTTGTTTGGTTTTTGTTTTAATATGATAAATGTGTGCCGCCTCTGCTCCTCGGGAAACGGTATCCAGGCTGCAAAGTAATTATTTAGTGAATGGTGGATCCAGTTCATGTTGGCAAGGATCAGATTAATCATTATTAATCATGACCCCTCCGACAGTAACCTCATCCCTTGCCTAAGTGCTGCTCTTTATTAAGAAGTAATAGCTATTAGGGAATGGTTGGGCTACTGCTCTGGTTACACTGTCAATGTGGTCTCGGGACTCCTGGCAGGAGGCAGAGGAACTCAGGTCAAAATTAAAAATAAATGCACATGGTACTCATTCCAGAAACGAAACAGGCTGCTTCCCTTGTGGGTTTTGCCTACCTCCTCTAAGTGTCTTCCTTTCCTCTGGAGCCTCCTGGGAGTTTACTTCTTCAAAAGATGAAACTAAGCATCGGATGTTCATTTATACGGTGAAATAATACCTATAATTGTTGTTATTTTTCAACTAAATGGATCTCAGTGCTGCTTTACAGTCCTGACTCCTGCAGTCTCCGCAAGGCAGATTTCCTGTTGACTTCAAATGGGAATACCTGCTTCCAGAATCCAAGGTCACCCATTCACCCAGCGCTGAAATGCAGCCATCTCTGGGGAGGAACGTGGCAGCTGCTTAACAGCGCACAGTATTCCTACTCCAACGGCAAAAATGAAACGCCTGCAATTTTAATTTGCTCTGACCTTCTCATTCAGGGATGTCTCTGCCGTTATACTTCTCTTTTCCCTTCTCTCTCTCATTGCCAGCTTTAAGTGAATTCGCATGATGGTCAAGGGTCAAGAATTGAACGACTGTAGTCTTGAATCCAGCATGGATCAGCTCCGTTCCTGCTCTGTACGTTTCACCCTTACTTGCACGACTGCACCTGCAGCACACCAAGTTGTGGAGACAGCAGCAAGGCTTTTGGTTTGAGACAGTGCGGAGAGTCTGCGAACTCGCTCGGAGGCTAGGCAAATAGTGCAGCACACTGCTGAATAGTGTATGGCAGCATATGAAATAAAACTCAGCTTCACGTTGGCTGAATGTGTGTGGGGTCACAGATTGGGCCAAAAAAAAGAGCTCTGATGTGAAGCCAGCAGGTAGTAAAGGCAGCATTAGGAATGGTTTTGAAAATAGCTGCCTGTGTCCTGTAACTTGGTCATAAATGAATGAAATTTCATTTCCAGGCTTTGGCAGATCTGCTTAAAAAGAGTACAGAGTCTAATGAATATTTGCAGGGATCGGGACAGGGTGTGAATCTCTGCGTTGTCACACAGCTCAGACGTCACAGTAACACCCTGGGAGAATGGCCACCTGTTGCCAAAGCGTTGCCTTCAGGCCTCATCCTTAAGGAGACGAGCTCACTAACTCCATCAGGCTTGGTAATGTCTCATAGTGGGCAGAGCGTGGCTACTAAACTGGTAATAGAAAACTTCATAAGGCATCCAGCATCTCCTGGGAAGTCTCCCTCACTGCTGCTTGTATGATGAGAGGTCACGAGCCTAGTGATGCTGCTTTGGCATTTCTCTGTTCAATGGGATTGGAGCATCTAGGCTAGGTGAAACGTCAAATAACCGAATCTCGACTTTGCACATGTCCACGGCAGCCCAGCATCCATTAAGTTTATCAAGACATGCATTGAAATGGGAACCTGAGTAGGGCAGTCTATTTTGTGCAAGAGATTAGTTTGAAAAAAGAGTTATATTTTTGCCTAGTTATATGTCTCCCCCATATGTATAATTGCAGTGCTATGGTTGCTTGCCACTTACTAGTTACCAGTGGTAACTCTCAGTAGTTGCTACATTAGGGATCTGTTAAGGGTGGACGAAAATGTTGTTTTCTGCAGTTTTTCTAATACGACGGTTCTTTTTAAAGAAGAGTTGCTGCTCCTGTTTGTCTGAGCAAAAGGACAATGAATTAAGTACCAAGTTGCAGCAAACCCAGAAAGAAAGCAATTACTTTTCAAAATACTTTTATTGCCTGGGTGGAAATCCTGGAGGGGAAAATTGTTAGGGAAAAGGTAAGGAAAGAAAAACCTCATTGGTTTTTCATCCCACCTGGAGGTGAGTGATAAAAATTGGGTACAAACCCGCTTGCTCTTTTGATCTCTGCCAAAGTTGTTGTGGGAGTGACATTGTTTAATGGTTGAAGGAGTTTACTGAAAAATAAAAGTAGCAGCAAAGAGAAAGGGCCCAATGCAAATGATCTATCTAGTAAATCGCTGTCAAGTTTTACATGTTTTGGGCAACTGGTAATTTCCCGTCTTTAAAAAAAAAAGAAAAAAAGGAAGGAGGGGGAAGGGGAAGGGGTAAGAAATATATAATCCCATGTCTTTAAATCGCTAACTGACTCAGCCTGAACTGTGTAGGAAGCTGCGTGTTCCCCCGGCAGCCAGCGCTCAAATAGCTGCTGAGGGTATATTGCAAAACTTAAGTCAGGGCTTCAGGGAATCTGCCTTGGCTTCACCGGTTCGTGGTTGCATTCTTCCGCTTGTCAGTAAGAAAAGCACTAAAGCACAAAAAGTTCAAGGGATCGCACAGTTGGAATCCATCTGAACAAATCTGGATTGCGCCCCTGTACTTGACATTTCCCTCCTTTAAAAAAAATAATAAAATAAAATCATTGGCTAAATGTTAGAAATACTGAGCCATGAAAGGGGAGGGCTGGAGAGGGGCAACAGGTCAGTACCTGGCACCTTCTGACCCGGGTTTGCAGGAAGGCTTCAAGTGCCACTTGCTTTAAAGGCGGTCAGGAGCTGCCTTAGTGGTTTGGCCCTAAGGGGCTGATGTTCCCAAAGAGGTTGGGGAGTTTGCTGGCACAGGCTGAGGAGCCACAGATGCTGACCCTTGTCTGTTCCTTTTTCTTTTCTTTTTTTTATCTGATTTTTTTTTTTAATTGGTGTTTTCAAAACATGGATGGGAGAAGGCTAAAGCACCAAGCAGGATGACCAGCATGAAATACAGTAAAAGGGAAACAGGGGGAATTATTCCAGGAATCCAAGCACATGAACTAAAAGCCTTGTGTGCTGAATAGGAATGGTTAAGAGGTTTGTATTTAGTCCTTTCTTGCCTTGAAATCTTATGAAAAGAAATTCTAGTAACTCCCCCAATGTACAGATGGCACAGCTGCTCCAAAATGTGCCATCATACCATACTTCTAATGCTGTTTCTGGGGCACCTGGAAAGTACATGCTTTAATACTAATGATAACAGTAGTTCTACTAGAAATAACAATAATGAGTAATCATAATTATGATCAGTATACCAATAATGATATCAGCTTTAGTAGCTCGTCCATCCATTCTCACTGCGTGGGGCCAACCAGTGTTCTTCCATTGCTTTCTATGATCCTCCGTCACCATTACTGCTAACAAAATCCACATCCGGGGGAAAAGTTGGGAAGCACCAAACCAGAATAATTTAGCGGAGTGTACTTTGGGAAGTTTTTAAGGAATAGGGAAAGCTTCTTGTTAGATGGACACCAAACTGGAATGGTTTAGTCAGGGATGACCCTATCTTGAGCAGCAGCAGATGGACCCGATGATCGGCAGAGGTCCCTTTCAACCCTACTTTCCTATGATGTGCTAAACCTCATCCCATGTTTGCTTTGGGCATTGGGACAAGAGACTCTTGAAGTGTGCACAAAAGGTTCAGCAGGTTCCTTGCTGGACGACATTCCCAAATCCAAACCTGTAGTCAGGTACCCATAGACATTTGTTAAGAAATTGCAGAGTATAAGTCTGTTTGACTTATTTTTTTCTGAACTTAAAGTAACGGGGCAATGGAAATTGCTGGGATTGTTCCCTATTCTTCAGGCCTGAAGAAGTTTTTGAGGGGCAGAGATTTCCTAGGGATGACTCCAAAAAAATGGCAAGTGTTGGACTTTGGGGACGTCATGTACCCAGGTCAGCTGAGACTGGGTTTTTTCTGCGTTAAGGGTCTCTCTGTGTTACCAAACAGCATGGGTAAATTAGCATTTTCTGTGGCCTGCTTCTTCTTACACAGTGTACAAGACTGGCTCGCTGCAAATAGTCATTTCAGAAGTTTCCCACCAACACCTATTGGTTTTTTATTAGCTCACACTCATTTCAGTTGTGGTTTTGTTTTCTGCAAAATTAGTATAGTGCAGATGGCAATGAAACGACTTCGAGGAGGGTGAAGTGTGACTTTGTTGTTACAGGAAGAGAAGATACCTCACAATATTTGCTCCTTTTGGGGAGGGCAGCTCCAGGTACTCATCCCGGATTGATACTCAGGGAACTGTTTCTCCCTTTGAATCAGTTGTGAACTGATGCTGCACCATGGTGGTCTCATGATCTTTCCTCCTCCTAGCGAGAAGTAACATTTATGGCCCAGATCCTTTGTAATGATGGAAAATCTCTCTCCACTTGTGTCCATTTTTCTCCAGTCCTGGCCACAGTATCTCATCCACATCCTGATTCCAGGAAATTTATTCTTCTGTTTTTTTACATCCAATGAAAAATCTTATTTTTCACTTGCTGCACATGATTGCTGCGTTCTGTCGCCTTGCATTGACAACGTTTGTTGTATCTCAGAGGTAGTTTCATTTTGGAAGTGAATTAAGTGACTCATACGTGGCTCAAAAAGTAATTTGAGGTCTATCTACAGGAAAGGCATTTCATACATGAAAAACAGTGGGTAATTATCACCATCGTCTAGTCCTGGATCTGAAAGGATCGTTTTAGTTCTGCCAAATGCAAATGCCCATAGGAAAGGCAGCTCAGAAAGGCCCTAGAGCATTAGAAAGAAAAGGTGTCTCTCATAATTTCATACCGTGGACTCCAGTTGTACTAATAATTATTTTGTATTCTTCATTAATGTACCCAAAAAGTATTGTGAGTTGGAAGTGAAGCTCTTTACTTCTGAGCAGCTTCAGGGGAGGGGTTTTGCTCCTTGAACATTAATTGTCGATAAACTCCAAGGGGTAGTTGTCCTGACAGTCAAAATATCATGAATGCACATTTGAACTGGGCACTGCATGTGGAAAGAGCAGAAAAGCCGAAGAAATCATGGGCTAAAGTATTGATCGGTTAGTTTTGTGGTCTCGGCTGCATGATGCTGACAGGCAAATATTTTTGCTATGGGTCCTTGCTGAAGAACGACTCCTTATAACACTCTACTTGAGGTGAAGTACGGGGAGGCCCTGAAGTCTTTCAACTCAAAATCTTTTTTCTGTAAGAGCCTTCCTTCAGTCTTCTTTCTATCTACTTCTTCTCCAAGCGATGTCCTGCTATAGACTCTCCTCCCTTTATTTGAAGAGCTCATGGTGGGATTAATAATACCCACTCTGCTAGACTTCAGCTCCCAGTTAATCCAAATCTCTGATGCTCTTAGTTAGAGGGTTATGACTGGAGGTGACAGGAGAGAGAAAAAGGGTGCATTTGACGGGGAGGAGGGACCTTCCACATAAAAGTAACCTGTCAACTCATTTATATCTGTGCTGCATAGGTGTAAAAAGTTACCTGATCAGAAATGTAGCAAAGTTGCTCTCCGTTTGAGTAAGAGCAAAGCTGGATCCAGGAGGGGCTGCAGTGATGCACATCCCACTTTCTATTTCTGCTCCATCTAACCTTTAAAACCAAGTGCCTGGGGGAGGACGGCACAACAGCAGCATTTCTCTCCAGGCAGTGCTGAGGGAGTCAACTGACTTCATGTATCATTATAATCTACCTGATTTCTGCTAATCTTCAGTACTAATGACCCCCTCTCCTTTTTTTTTGACATTCCATTAATCAAGCCATCCTTTTGTTTGCAATTTCAGTGTCTGTTAGCCATTCCTGGGAATGTCTCTCTTCTGTTTCACAGCCCTCTAGTCTGTTTTTAGTTCTAGTTAAACACCTTAACTCAGGTGTGGTAACGTTAACTCAGGTGAACCTTAACTCAAGTGTGGAAATGAGTGATAGCGAAGTGTTGGATGCAGTGTCAGGACGCTGTAAAACCGTGGTTTTCAACCTGTGGTCCACGGGCCCCTGCAGGAATGCAGACTACATCTAAGCTATCCATGAACGATAACTATGATCAATCAAAAGTAAGTGAATACCCACACTTACAATTCAGAGGGGTCTGCACCTCCATTCAGATTTTTTTAGGGGTCTGCAAATGAAAAAAAGGTTGAAAACCACTGCTCTAGAAAGCTAGATTTTCTTTTACAAATCTGAATAAGAAATGTACATTTAACTATAATAAATGCAGGACTAATAAAAAGATCGCTTGACTACTTTTGCCTAGTTTGTTGTGGTTTTTTTTAACTTTATAGACAGTCTAACAAATAAGTGCATATTCCAGTAAAGCTATATTCA